AAAGTGAGTAAAGTTAACCTTACTTAGCTTGACTTTTTTTATTAGAGAAAATAAGTGAATGCCATAATTACCCCTATTTTCTTTTATTTGTTTTTCTATCTCTTGATATATTACTTACAAAATTAGCTTGAATAAGAAAAAAAATCTCATTTTTTTTATACAACAACAACATAAAACTTTTGTCTCACTACGTGGGGTCAGCTACATAAATCCTTTTTCTTCATTGTAAATTCTTATTTAAATCTAATAAAGAAAGATCATTTTTAATATTTTCTAACCTAGTCTTTATAGGTTTACCTCTATCTTTCTTAACATAAGTTAAATTTAATATCTCTAATTTCTAAATGGGTCATCGGAAGGACATCTTTTTATGTGACAAACCATCTAAGATGACTATCTTTAACCTTATATTCCACTGGAGCTACTCCAAGCTTTTCACGTATAAGCTCATTTCGTATCCTATCTCTAAGGGTAAAGTCACTCATCCACCTGAGCATTCTTATCTATACAATACGTAACTTAGTTCATGTTAAGATTATTCGATCGACAAGTTTTACGCTGGCTGCTGACTATTTAACATAACCCTTCACTTTTCTCATTCAGGACTTGAGACCTGACAACGATAGTGTTTATAAAAAATTTTAATATAAAACTTATTTCTAAATCCATCTAACCCTAGTTTAAATAAATTTATGATCGAAATAATGTATTTTAATAAACTAAATATAATTTTATAAAAGCTATCCAGATTAGAGTACAAATTAACCCAAAAAACTAGCTTGCAAGAATATGAACAGTCAAATAAACTCAAATTCATACAAAGAACATCCTAAAACATTTCAAAAGTCCACTAGTGCTTTTGGAGATAAAACTTTTACAATTTTTTGAAAATTTAATTTTAAACTTTTAAAATTTAAAATAGGATCACCCAATCAATTTTTAATTGTTTGCCCATTGTTAATAAGATTGCATGAATAATATAAATATTGCAATATAACATAATTACCCTCTCAAATTTATAAATGGGCATCAATTTTTCTTATATTTTAACACTCAGAAATGAGAGCATTTAGAAAATGTAGAAAGCTTTAGTATATTTACTATTTCTATAGCTATTAGATGACATTCCTAGTAATCTTAGGCTCGTCAAACTTCTGATCTAATGGCCACCTATTGATGCCAGCAGTAACCCTTATTCACAAACTGACGTTCGATTCCGTATGTTTGTCAGTGTCACTCTCCCTTTTTTTTTGTGACGAGGAAGCACTGTTCTTAGGTCAGTAAAAATTCTGGTCGACCTAGCATGCAATCCACACCAATTTATATAGGCCAACACTTAAGGCTTTCACTGGCCCAAGAACAGAACAGTGGTGAGTCACTTTCCCAACATCAATATTGCTAATGCTTGACATCCATCAATATTAGACGCCAATGCCAATTGCTCATTGAAGTTTAACATCCTCTTGAAAGTCCAACAATGTTTTATTTTGGATGATTTTTTACTGATTCTTAAAACAGTTTTTTAGTACAAAAAATTGATTTTAGTGCTACAAAATTGTTTTGAGAAGCAGTAAGAAAATAGTCCCATACGAAGCATAAGTCAAGCCTCATATAGTGTAGGGTTTCAATATTTGATACGACCCAAAAATTCGACTCGAATTCGACCCGAAAATTTCGGATTAGGGTCAACCCGGACCCGAAACATGTTGGGTTCAACAAATCAACCCATTTAAAAAATTGGGTCGGATTCGGGTTGACCCGAAAACCCGTTTTTGACCCAAAAAATTGAGATTGACTCGTTTTTTACCCGAAAATTGAATATGGACCCATTTTCTAACCCGAAAATGAAAAACTAGCAATTTTTTGTTGGCCCCGGGTCATACAGGTCTTGTTGGGTTGACCTAGACCCGAAGCTGGTTGGGTTTGAGTCCGAAAAATTGACCCATTTGTAAAAATGGGTGGGGTTCGAGTGGACTTGAATAGTGCCGAGTTAGTTCCAGATTCAATCCGAATCCGACCCGTGACCCGAAATTGACACCCCTAATATAGTGAGAGTATTCGAGTTGTATGTCTACCTTTTAACACTAGAGATTACTTCTCATTTTTTTGACCAAGATCTACAATTTTACATAAAATCCTAATTTCATTCCCTATAATACATAACAAAAGCCTTTGTGGTTATAAGTCAATCAATCCAAAAAAAAAAAAAATAAAAACAAAGAGTGGAGGGCTTTGTTTTTGTTAGGAAAATATTGGCATTGGGTATCTATCTAAACTTCCATGTGATTGTTGAATATGACCATAATTAATTAATAATTAATAATTGATAATGATCCTTATGACCTGATAATTATAACCCACTTGAACTTATAAAAACTTTGATTAACACTTGAACGAGACAGATTAATCAATGATTAAAGGGTTATTTGCTGAGGAGAAATCGAAGCATTTTCTTGGCGTTTCTTGCTTTTTTATTGGTTTATTATTTTGTTGGTCCTCACATAGCAATCATAGATATAAAAGTCAAACACAACCACTACTGAAAATTTGACTTATTACATTTGTTTTAATTTTTTTAGAGAAAAAAATGTGAAATTTTGATAAAATATATATTAAAATTGGGTAATTATTTCACTTTTAGTCATCATTTTTTATAAATTATTATTATTATTAGGATGACTAAAAAGTTTTGATAATAAGAGTTTTTATCTAAAATTTATAATCATGTTAGCAATGCTCATAATTTTTATGAAATATGACTTGTATGGTAAAAAATTTCATGATATTAATAGAATGATCACACAATATATGTGCATGCTCAATGTCAAATCAAACGGTTTGATAAGAGAAATCCAGCGAGCTTAAGATCACTCAATTTTGAGATCATTAACACACTTAAGTGTTAAAAGAATGTTCATAATTTAGGTAATCATCATGCGTCATTTGATTAAGTGTTTTTACATTAGTCAAAACAACCAAAATGCTACCCTCAAAAACTATAATTAAATCGATATTCTTCATATAAGAGAGGATTAAACTTGAGATTTGAAAGACATGGAGCTCCGAAGAACGCTAAAACTCTAATATACATTTGATGCCAAATATCCTCCTCAACTATTTTTATTATTCAATTGTCATTTTCTGATAATCATTACCCATCTGCCATCTCCTAATCATCATTGTATGGATATGTTTTTTTCTACTGTGATCATCCTACTAATGTCTTCATATTATCCTCTAATGATCACTATCGTCCGACCACTATCTTCCGATTATTATTACTTAACTATGCACATTCAACCACTGTTGTTAGTCTACGATCTCTCGACCATAATCTTTTGGTCGTTATCTCCCGCCAACTGCATTATTAATAATATTGACACATGTCATCACCTATAAGGTTGATACACGTCATTGATTCACACCATCGTCTAAGGCCAATTCATGCATTTGCATATATCATCATTTATAAAATTGATGCATGTCATCAATACTAAAGGCGAAATTTGCCAATTTCATTGCCAACTGTTGCTCACAAGTCACAATGTTAATGCACATTGTTCACACTAACTCTAATTCCTCATATCAAAACAAATATTATACTAAAGTCATTGGTCCTTAATCTTCTCTTTTCAAAGAAGAAAAATCGAACATACTATAAATTGTCTCTTGAAAACAACTTCAATACTTAAGATATTTAAAACTTCCATCATTAAATACATTATTAATAGTTTATGTTATTATATTGTACAAAATCTCTCTAATTATAAGGAAAGATATCATTTTTAACCGATAATATATGCTAGCAAAATCTTTTCAATTAAAATTTTTATTGCCTATTACAATATTCTTTTTTTTTTAACCCACAAAGGGGCCTACACATTAATTGGGTAAAAAATTACAGGTTCTTAAAAGAACAGAAGCTCCCTAAAAATAACATTTGAAGTAAAACCTAAAAGTCATTGTTCCAATCTAATACAATAATATCAAACAAAATAAGCAGAAGAGAACCAAAACAACCTAAGCGGGGCACCTAAAAGAAGCCAAGACAACACAACAAAAGCTTCGACCGAAGCTCCAGGATACAGCAACAAATATAACACCTCATCCAGCTCCAAATAATAGCAGAACCCAAACCTGCCAAACCCAAAACTTTAGCCGCCCCACCAGAACCCAACCAAAATTCCACATCCCTACCACCTGCAATAACACCCCCAAACGAGCAGTCAAACCATGCCAACAGAGGCCCACAATCAAAACCAATCCAGCCACAATAAAGGAAAGGAATGAAGAGGAAGTGCATCTTTTTTGGAATCAAACATGAAGTAAGTTCACCTGCAGCTCTTCCATTACACTAATGTGATGTTATTTGGAAAAATAAGAGTGAGGATATCCTAATTCAAATTTAATCCATTTTTAATTATTATATTTATTTCTAAGCAAACATAAATTAAATTTTAATTAATTAATCATTTATTTCATTCTTTTATAAGCAAAAATGAAAAAGAAAAAAAATAATTAATTTACATCTTTAGTTATTATAATTGTTCAAAATTTTCAGAGCATATTATTTTGAGATTTTTTATTTTTTATTTTTACATTGATATGGATCTAACTCTAATAAATTGGGTGGGAAAAATAATTACATGAAATATTTTAATTTTACTAGATATTCTTAAATGTATTTTATAGAGGTCTAAGGTACTTATAATTGAATTATAATAAAAAGAATGAGGATGATATTATTTTTTCTTATTTTAAAATTTTAAAATATTATATGTATAAATAGTAAAATTTAAGTTTAAATCGTTTAATTTTGACTGGTATATGTGTAAATAAAAAAAATATTTATAATTTAAAATCTTATTATCATTTGTCTTCCAATGCTTGAAACAAATCCTAGTCTAGTACGCAATTAACTATGCGGCCCATTTTGATTTGCATGTAATTCAGCCCATTTAAGCCAGCCCGGTCCGAGTAGCAGTGTCGGACGGAGCAATAAACGGCGGGAGCGCCGAAGAAGGAAAGACGGCGCGGTGATTGCGTGCACTTCGTCGCAATCTCATCTGGAAAAACCCTACTCAACAAGTTTCGAATTTTCCTCTACAATACGATTACTCTTTTTGATTTCTGGCATATTCCCCTCTTTTTCGGTTGATTTATGTTCCTTTGCATCTATCATCAGGTCTTGCGTAAAGTTTATTTGTTTTCTTCTTCTTCTTCTTAGTTTTTGTCATAATCGCTCGATTGTTTAAATGTTTTGGATATGGGAATCGACGAAAGAAGTTTTTTTGGCAGTGGTAACGTGCGGGCGAGATGGCGAAGAGTTCGTTTAGGCTGGAACATGACTTTGGTGCGTGTAATCTGCGGCGCTTTCTATTTTCGCTTGTGTTGCTTGCTTATGTTGGGTAGTTCCTTTTTTTTTTTTTTAATTAAAGACTTTACTTTTACGTTTTACAGAGAAGAGAAGCTCGGAGGCTGCAAGAATTAGGGAGAAGTTCCCGGATAGGGTTCCGGTGAGGTTTTTCTTTTCTAGAAATGGCATTTGGTTTTTTGATGTTGAGTTATCTAATAACATGTTGCCTTCTACAAACAATGGGAGGTATATTCTTAGAAAATTTATAGGTTAGATCTATGATTTAGAAGATAATTTTTTGGAAAATAATACAAGTCATTTAATTCTTAGAGATTTAATATTCCCAATCAAAATTTGTATGGTTTTTTCAGTTATTTTGGAGAATTGTTGCCATAGAATTGAGTATATCTTTTGATTAATAATCTTGTTTATACCATTATGTGATTTCATGTGCTCTATATTTTACATAAAAATTTCATTTGCGTCATACCAATTTTGTTCCTTTTGGTTGTTTAAGGATTTTTGTAGTGTGTTTTTTTATAAGACCTTCATCCTCCCTCTCATGATATTTTTTCAACTCTTATTTTAAGTGTCTCAAATAAAGTTTGTGTTATTATAATGATATTAGAGTTGATGTTTATAACTAAGGCTTTGTAGATTGGAGAAAATTTTTGAAAAGATGTTTTGTGGGAGATGTGATATATAGGAGGATGTGTAGTGATGAGTTGATCATTGTTATCTGATAATGATTTTGAGTCTTGAGCTTGCTGGAGATTTTGGTTGAGCTTATATCTTCTATATAGAATTGAAGGGATACAATGTCTACTCTTTTGGAGTTTGTGTTGTAGAAATGTCAAGATTAAAGATAAAAGTTTCCTCAAACTTATCTGTCAATTGAGATTGTTCTTCCTAAAGATGAGTTTAGTTATAAAAAGATTGTTTCTTATCAAATATGACATCATTTGAAGTAAGGAATTTTCTTATGGTTGGATGATAACACTTATACCCTTTTTGCTGGAGGAATAACCAATGAAAATACATTTGAGAGCTCTATGATGATGTTTACCCCTATGGTGTTTGTGGATGTGGACAGAGGCAATACACTCAAGTATTTTTGAAGTAATTTTCGAGAGAAAGTGATTTGTGGGGAATAATTTAGTCAAATAGTTCATAAGATTTTTAAAGTCAATCACCATTGAGGATATTTTATTGATTAGATAAGTCACAATTAGGATCTCACTCTAATGTTTTTTTGACATTTGATTTTGGAAGAGAAGAGTGCTGCTAACTTTCAAAAGATTACTATTTTTCTTTTTTGCCATTCCCATTTTATAGTTGAGTGTCAATATAATAGGATAGATGGATGATACATTCTTTATAAAAGAGAGAAGTTTGTGTGATTAAAGTAATCACAAGCATTATCAATTTGAAATATCTTGATGTTATCATAGAGTTATTTTTGTATCATGATAGTAAAAATAGAGAAAATAATGCTGACATCTGATAAGATATATCTATATCATCCGATTGTAATCATCAATGAAGTCGACAAATCTTGTAACTTAAAAAATATTAGGGATTTTTTTGAAAGGTCCCTAAATGTTAGTGAATAATAAAAAAATAAGTGAAGAATCTAGAATCACTTTTAAGAAAAACAACACGATGATCTTTTGTGATTTTATAAGCATTCAAAGAGGAAAAACAACACTTTGAAGAATCTAGAATCACATTGAAAATTTTTCATATTTATATCCATAAAAGAGAATGAAACATATGTTATAATGTTTTGAAAGATGAATGTCATAACTTATAATGATGTTCCCAGTTGTCTTTTGTATTAAGGGTGAAAATGAAGGAGCGTGATAAGTGATTTTCATTTTGAAGAAGATATATTTCATTTTTTTCTTTGGCTTTCCTATGGTAAGGTTCCTAAACATACAATGATTAGTGAAAAACATTATTATTGAAGTTATAGTTGCTGGTATTTTTATGGATTGATTGAAGATTTACTGTAATATAAGGCATATGCAGTACATTATTAAGAGAAAATATGGAAGAAATTGAAATATTTTCTTGACCTGCAATAGTTGCTAGAGAACTATCAGCTACTTTTTATTTTTTTATTGATGCGATAGAGTTTATAGGTTTGCAAAAGGTTGGCAAGGTTTGTCATGTAGTTAATGACTCATGAATCTTAGATTTAGATGGGAGAGAGATTATTTAAGGCACTACAAATATAATAATTGAAAGTTATATAATTTTGAGCTGAAGAGCTTGGTATGAATTTTTTTTTCTAGTGAGTTAAGTAAGTTTTTGAGTTTGTCTATTTCATTTTGGATTGAGCTCTTCTGTTCCATAAGGTATGTTTATCTTTTTTGATGACCTTTATTTATGTTATATCTTATGAGCTTTTTTTGTGTCATTTCTAATTGCAGTAGCTACACTATAGATTGTCTTTAGAAGAAAGCTTTGTTTTTTTGGAGTATGTAGCGTTAAATCTTTTATCTTTGGATTGGGTGATTGTCATTACAGATGTTATGGACACAAAAACGTCGAGCATTTTCATCCTTTTTTTCTTACCCAACTTGTATAAGAAAAGATCTCATTTAATGATGGTAGGTTTTCTCTGTTTAAGATTTAGACGCAAACTTGTTTGAATCAATATTGAGTCCTACAAGAAACTTATGCACTCTTTTTCTGTCTATAAATTAATTGAGAATTACTACATCATCACAATATATAATCTTGAAATCTTGGTAATAATTGAGTATAAGTCAATAAACCTTTATTGTATTAAAGTATTTAATAATAGAAATGCTATCCTTGCATGGTTATTGAAATCTTAGTTTTGATCTCATAAATGAGGGTAGCATCAGTCACTTTTGAGTACACTTATTTGATGACATCTTAAACTTCTTTTCTAGTTGATAGGAACTTACATAGCCAATTGATTTTAGGCATAATTTTATTCCACAACCATGTCATATTCACAAAATCCACTTCATCCCAAAGTGCAAATTTTTGGTTCTTCGACTCTGGAGAAGGATCCATAAGTTCCCTTTTCTTTTAGAAAAATTTTTGCAATCTAGAACTATTTTAGATAATTTCTCACTCAGGAGATATGAGGTTTGTAGTCCATGAAGTTCTTCTTTTGTATGATTTTTAGAATTCATGATGATCGACTCCTTTGATGGGAAGCCAAAGAAACTAGCTATATCGCGAGAAGGAAGAATGCTGAGAAAAAGAGAGAAAAATGTTAAAGGTTGGAAGATTTTGGGTAGCTCAAGATTCACCGTTTTGTAATTCTATACGATCTTTACCACTCCTTACCCATCTTTTCTATGGTGGGGGGCCAATCTTGATAATTAGGTTTTGGTACATTGACCTACCTGGCTATAATGTGTCAGTGATGGGCTATATGTTATGCTTGCTGGACCTCTTTGATAGCAACATGTGTCTCCTTAAAGATTGATACATTTTCCTCAACTAGCTTCCGCATTTGCATGTCACATTTTTTTGCCTATGGTAGGAGAGCATGACTTTCCTTTCTTCTTCAACAGGGTAAACCATCATCAATAGTAATTTTTGGCTTGCATGGGTAAGCATTTTGCTTGCTCTGTTGTTACTATGCATTCCGTTGACACATTAATCATTGAGAGAGAGAGAGAGAGAGAGAGAGAGAGAGAGAGAATAAGGTCATTAGTGAAGTACGATATACCTATCACGAAGGTATGAGTTGTTGAAGATAACTCGACATATTTCAAGTGAAACCACTTTGCATAGAATCTCTTCGTTATAATCCTTGGTAATTGCAAAATTAATACGGCAATGGTGATCAATCTTAATCTCTAGTCCTTTCTAGATCCAAATAGAAGGGTAAGCATTAGGATGGCATATGTTGGCCTACTCTGTTTTTGCACCAAATTATAAGATATAATGTTCTTTTGGTGACTGGTGTTGATTATGAGACTGATTATCACTTGCTTAACTTGTATCCTTAAGGTGAACAACTCCTCTCATATACCCATACCAAACAACGGTCGTACCATTATTTCCTTCAACATTGACATCAAAGATTGAGATGGGCACACCTTGTCTACTGGACTCAGCACAATGTTTTCCATCATAATAGTTTTTTCTTTCTTTCTCATATTTATTCCATTATTTTAGAAAAAATTAGGATGCAGCTTTCTTCTTCTGGCAATACTTAGAACTTAACCAAAGATATTGGTCTTGTAAATGGAAGGGTTATCATCAGTCTTTTTTTTGGCTTCCAATAGAAAGAAGACTCCACTTCGGATGGTTCTTAGGTTTTATCTATTGCCATGGTAAAATTGTTTGTATATTGCTTGAGCTTTCCCCAAATCATCTTTTGATGGACATTCATGTTTAGATGAGCATTCCACTGTATTAGGACATGGTGGCTTAACTTTAAGTGGGCGATAGAAACTTTGTCATGGGTTTGTACACCCATACAAGATGAAGTATCTAACGAGAGAATCCATGCGTTGAACTTTTTTGGCTTCAGAAATCTTTACAATTTCTAGTTTGAATGTTCACATCCTTCTTTCAAAAAAATATATAAGAATATAATTGAAACAAGAAAATAGAATGATAAACCTCTTTACTTCTCATATAAGAATCTCCACCTCTTTGTCGCCTTTTTCTTCCTGCAAAAGAAAAGAGGATCACACGTTCATATGTTATTGTTTGGTATTAAAGCAAACAAGTTTGATGAGAGAAAGCAAAATGTAATGAATATAATTATCTTGACCCTTCCGGCCTTCCCTTTAACCCATAGTGACAACGAACTCAATTAGAGCTACATAAAAGAGCTTGTACTGTGTCAACCCCTGGTTTGAAGTGATATCTATCAACCACTCTTTCACCTGCACTTAATGTCGACTTTGAAGCTATTGTACTAATTGATATGGATAAAATGTCAACAGTCATTCTTGAAAATACACATATTTGATTTGGTTGGTTTTCCATCATTCTTTGACATCAAACTTTTCCCTTCATTGCTAATTTCCAAGCCATCTTCCATTGACTATGTGCATCAAGAGATGAGACCTTTAAAATTTTAAAGAATGTGATCTATTTGATCTTTTTGTTATCTGATCGCCAAATCATGATAATAGATAGCTGATTAATCAGCTATTATGATCATTTTGTTTTCTAGTTTGATCTGTTTTTAGATTAGAATCTATGGTGTATAAAACTAATAAAATATAGAACATCGTCGCATATCTGCTGTATCTAACTTATCTGCAATCATTCTCTTTGATCACATTAGGATTTTGGTTCCCTTTACCACGTGTTGGGATCGGCATATGATTTTTTTTATATATATCTCCAATGCAGCAACATTTTGTCTGCTTTTCAAAGCTGTTTGAGTTTCTAATAATCAGTTCTTTGCATTATTTTGCATTTGCAATATACTTTTCTATCAATTCCCATATTGTACATAGCATGACTGGCATTTTGAGTTTCTAGAGAATCTGCAAGGACCAGCAAGGTAACATTTATCCAGTGATTGATAGAATGTAGAACTTATTGCCTAGTCGCTTAATGTTGCTTTTATAATTTGATTGGATCATTTAGCTCGACTGAATAAGTTCTTTGTGGTGCTTGTTACTTACGTTGGTTGTATTTTGATGGACAATTGCATATATCGTACATGATTATATGGCTTCTCATTCTGCAATATGTTTACTTCTAAAAAGGTTATTGTGGAGAAGGCTGACAGGAGTGACATACCAAACATTGACAAGAAAAAGTAAGTTCTTGTTCTGTTCATTATCTGTTAAGTCCAATATGCTGACTTATTCATGGAAATAAACCTGCTAAACAAAAACAAGTCTATCAGCTCTGTATGAATTTGCATATGCAGCAATTGAGACTGACAAAGCTTTCTATTCTATTATTGTTATGTGAAGGCTATGCGTGCATATGTAAAATCTGCAAAGCAACACTAATATCCTGCATGTATGAAATTCTAACTTAAAGCATTAGGCTTTAGCCTCTAAATAAATCTCTATATCTGCAGGTATTTGGTTCCTTCTGATTTGACTGTAGGGCAGTTTGTTTATGTGATTCGTAAGAGAATCAAGCTGAGTGCAGAAAAGGCTATCTTCATATTTGTGGATAATGTGCTTCCACCAACAGGTATTTGTCTTCTCACATAAAAATATAAATTTGAGTTAAACTTACAGCTAATGAATCTAATGATAAATCATTACGTGCGGAATCCGGATACAGAGAATTATTCGATTTTGTCTTTGTGAATTATAAAAGCATAGTTACTGTTCATCACTGTGCTTTTACTATTCACTGTGTTCGATCTCTGTACGTAATAATCTATCTGAATCTGATAGTTGTGTTTTTTCAGGAGCAGTCATGTCCACAATTTATGAAGAGAAGAAAGATGAGGATGGATTTCTTTATGTCACCTATAGTGGAGAAAACACCTTTGGTTTTCAGATTGTGCGTTAGTTTGTCCTTCCCACTGAAATGGAAGTACACTAGTTTGCTTTTGTTTCTGCACCCACAACAAGTGATAAATTGTACAGTCTGATCTGTGCATAAAGTCTCATGTGATTGTTGAGTAGTATTTGGATGAGCATTTAACATATTTTATTTTGGTCTATTGTTTTAGAGCTATGATTATCAACTAAAATGTCTTGGACTCGAATCTTACGATGTGTGTGAGTTTTTTTTAATTGGTCTAACAGTCTAAAAAAAAAAAAGAATATTTATTCTTAACACATCTTTCATAATTGATCATAAATTTAAAATAAATAAGATCTAAAAAATTAAAATTATTGATGATATAAAGGTAATCTTTTGAGGATTAATAATAAAATGTATCCATTTAAATATTTAATAAATAATAAAAATGTGAGGATAAGTGGTTGCATATTTTAAAATGTATTGTAATAAATAGAGTAAAAGATTTAAAAATAATATTTTGATTATTTATAAAAGATTAGAATGATTTTTAATTATATTAAATGATTATTTTGTTTTTTTAAATTTTTTTAAAGAAGAATCAAAATGAATTTATGGTGGTATTAAAATTGTTGATTTTGATTTTTTTTATAAAGAGTTAGGATTATTTTGGTCTTTTTGATAAATAGTATATGGTTGTGATGATTTAATCCAACGGTAAAGAGAAGCAAGCTTCGGTCCCGAGAAGAAATCGTACGGTAAAGCGCGGGCCGTGACGCATCGAAATTCGTGCTGGTGTAGGATCGCGTGTCAGCTGTCCAGCTCCGACCCAATGAGAGCTCTGGGAAAATACACAACTCTCCTTGGCCTATTGGTTGAGAGCTTAGCTTCCAATTAAGAGGTCTAGGGTTCGAGTCTATGTGTATGCGTTGTGTGTGTGAGTTTGCCTTAAATGGCCTAAATGTCCCCAAAAAAAGAGAGCTCTGGGAAAATGAAAAGGCACTGGAGTTTATGAAAAGACAATTCTGTCCCCACCGTCCAACCACCGGCGCTGGCGCCGTCCGGACAACGGAGGCGGAATATTTGCGGCCTGCCGCCACTTTATGCGGCATTCAAGGAGGAAAACAAAAATGGTGTCAGAATGTTCCGAATGATGCACCAGTTAAAATACTAATATTTATCATTTTAATTTTTTTTTTATTTTGACTTTAAAAATATTAAATTTCGAATATATATTTTTTAAATTAAAGATATTTGTGTCATGAACTTTTGTTTTATTGCCAACATTATTTAGTGTTAAATGGCAGTTCATGTAATTTTGTGCAAATTTATGGCACAATTTTAACTTGGAGTAGGAAGACATTAACCAAATAATAAAATCATTTTTTTAATCTAATCTAACTACAATCAAAATGGTATGTTATAATAATGCCATTTAAACATTTAAGAATAAAACAGAATTACTAATTTTGTTCTCCATAATTCATTTAATGCCTTAATAGTAGCATGTATAAATATATAAATTTGTTAATTAATTTTAAAAATTTAAGTGAATTTTATTAATATTTGTATTTTTTTCAAGACATGCAATGCACATAATCAGTCCAAAAAATTGATAAAAACGATTGTAAGTTTATGCTTAGGGATGAAAATTCAAAAATATATATTTTAAAAAACGAGCATTTAATTTTTACTCATTTTTAGATATTTTAAACATACTTATGATATACAAAATTTAAATTAATTTTATTGTACATTTTACTGAAAATATATTTTTTTTTCCAAATATGAAGCAAACAAATAGGCCCTCATCAAATTGCTTATACGAGAAAGATAGTGAGGAGTCTGATATTTATTAAAGTAAATTTTGTTTATTGTTCTATCATCGCTGTTATATATTTTCTTGCTCATGATCAAGTATTTGATTTTCCGAAATTTTTTTAATACTTTTCAGATAATATAGAATATTATTGGTAAATCGGAATATAATAATATAGATTATACATTTTTGATGATAAAAAAATACAGATTTTGGTTGTCTATTATACTAAAATTTCTTACCTAAAAAACTAAAAAACGAGAAAAATTATGGGGCTTGATTCAGTTGAGTGAATATACTAAATAATAGAAGATATATGAATCAAATACTTGTTGGATTAGGGGCATAAGGATTACAGAAATTGGGTGCCCACAAACGGGTATTTATAGCCCAAAAACAACGTTAAATATTAGTAATCAAGTGATAGTAATAATGGAAGTTTAGCGATGGCGGCAATTGCTGATGGCAAATTTTCGATAAACTTATCAATTACAATAATTTTAAATATTAAGTTAATTATCTACTGAGGTCCAACTCCTAATGTCAATTATCAGTTCTTCACAAATATAAAACATATGTTGATCATTCTTGACTTCTAACCAGCCAAATAACATCTTGTAATATCCCACAATATGATATTTGATTATTTGTGCCCAACATAACCACCTTCCTTTATCAACATCATCTCTCTCATAACTTTCTTAGAGACATGATTAGTTCCTTATATATATATATATAATAGAAAATATTTTTATATAACTAAAATAATTAAAAAAATAGAAGCCTAAACATATTTATAACATTAAAACTTATAATTAAATTCTCATATATATATATATATATATATATTCTATAAGTTTTACACAAATTAACTTGAAGTAAGCCTCAATTCAAATGTTAGAAATAACTTATTTAGATACCACATCTTAAATTTATGAAAAAGCCTCATATTGACTTCCTCTCCATATAAAAGCATAACTTAGAGCTTTGTGGTCTCCTTAAATTGTTGAAAAAGCACCACATTGACTTCAGCTCTTTATATAAATGCATGAATTGGAACCTTGTGGTCTCCTTTCTACTCCCTATCTCTTCATGAAGCCCTACATTTAATGAGAGCATATAGAAATACTAGTACTATCTTACCCCTCAAGCAACAAACTCTATCTAATGTCTTCTATTCTCCTTCTCATCTTCCTTATCCTATCTCTCTCCATTTATCATGGAAGCCATGGGCGGCATCTAAATTCTATCAGAAGCAATGAGATGAAGACTATAAGTTCTCCTCATTCAATCAAGGTTAGTTCAGTTCATTTCCACTTGATTCATGCAATAACTACTCAGTTCACAGCTAAATTTATAAGCTCTTCAATATATATATATGTGCATAAATGGTCTTATTGTCAGGAAACTGGCTTGAAAATGAAACAAGAGAAGAAGAATTTGGTTGCTTATTCGGTTGGGTCGAAAATGGCTTCGAAGAATGATCGATTTCCTCGCATTAGACACAGAGACCAGTCTCCAGGTTTCAATATTGATTATGCTGGACCAAAAACTCATCCACCTTCTCACAACTGAAGCCTGGACATCTTTTTTTTTTTTTTTTTTTTTTTTTTTTTTTTTTTTTTTGTGGTTCTGATCTCTCTAATCAGTACTTCTTTATATATATAAATGTTTTAGTAGTATCAGTGTCTCAATCATAAACAGCTTCCATGAGAAATTAGAATGTTCTTTGTGACACTAATGGATTCAGTGGAGGAATGAAGAAAATATTCCCAGTTTTGCCTCTTAAAATATTCTGCTTGATTTATAATGATCCTATACTTGTCAAAATGCATGATGTTATGAAATGATTATTGATGACTTAGACTTCGTCTGAAATGACTTTCTTACTGCTTTAAGAAGCAATATTTTAGCACAAAATTTTTAATTTTTTTTATTTAAAAACTACTTTAAGAAGCAATTAAAAAGTCATCCCAAACGAAACCTTAGTGCTTAATCTATACTCTCTCACTATATATATATTTGCACATTAAGATTTCTATGTTCTTCCCATAATATTGTTTGATAAAAATGTGCATGGGTAATTAATTGGGGTGATGTTAGTAGAATAGAAAATTCTTGGGTCATCCATTAGGGTTTTAATGGTGAATGACCACATGCAGACAAGGATCAATGAAGTATACATGCACAGGTACATGCATGCAAGGCTTGCTATAAGCCTGTTAATATCATACGTGAAAGAATATAACATAATCGTGATATACAATCATAAAAGATCACAAATTTTCTTCTGCAATACTACTATGGAAATTTTATTTGTAGACCAGCAGCTAAGGTTGCCTAATTTATTGCTCATACATGAAGTGTTGAGCTTGAATTCTTGTGTTCCATTTTGTGGGACGCCAACAAAATTTTTTGGTTCAAGGGAAGTTCTGATTCATATTTTTGCAGCAGATACTTCTTAATAACTTGCTCAAACTAACTTCATAATAAAAGCTCTAACCTAAATGGGAGAAATTTCAGAGAAGTAAAAAATGAGACCTGGAACTGTATGCATGTCATGGGAACTTGAATGGCCCAAGGAGTAATTAATGTTTTCAAATCATCACCTGGAACATGTCGGTTGTTGACAAATTGTTTATATAATAAAAAATTATGTTTAGATATTTTCATAAAATATTGATCATTGTATATTTCAAAACTAATGTAATACATAAACAATAAATTAATCTCATATTATATTTATATCAAAATAAATTTAGTAAATTTAAAATTTATTTTAATAAAAAAATTAGTCAGAATATTCTTATCTAATTTTTTTCCTATGTAATAGTCAAAAAGCTTAGAATAATTTGTTTGTTTTGTACCTTTGTGGACCTTTAATAAAATTCTATTGCATCAGTTAGGGTGGAAATTGCAGTGTAAACAGTAATTACGCCTACATTGTTCATCTATTTCACTCTTGAAAGTTACGATTTTACTAAAATGGGTTGAGATAGTTCAACAATTTAAAGGAAAAATAATAACTAGGATAGAAAAAAAAGTAATTGTTTTGCATTAAATTACAGAAAAAAAATCTAATATAAGAATTAATCATATAATGGATTCATCACAAAACAAATATAATAATTTTAAATTTCATACAACAACAACAACATCAAGCGTTTATCCCACTACATGAGATGGGCTACATGAATCTTTTTCTCCGTTCTGTCCTAATAAAAGTGAAATTCTCGTTTAAATCTAACAAAGAAAGATCATTTCCAATATTTTCTAACCAAGTCTTTTTAGGTCTATGGCTAGCTTTATTAAAATAAGTTAAATCTAATACATCTACTTTCCTAATTGTGTCATCAGAAGGCTGTCGTTTTATGTGACCAAACCATCTAAAGACGACTCTCTTTAATCTTATCTTCCACTGGCGCTATTCCAACCTTTTCACGTATATGCTCATTTCATATCCTATCTATCTCTAAGGGTAAAGCCACTCATCCACCTAAGCATCCTCATCTCTGCAACACTTTACTTAGTATTATGCTTCTATTTTAATGGCCAACATTCGGCACCATAAAGCATTGCAGGTCTCACCATCACCTTATAGAAATTTCCCTTAAATAATTTAAAATTTCATCTTGAATAAAATTTAATAAGAATATTCTAACTCTTCTTTTTTTTCTATTCTCATTTTGTTTCATAGGAAAGTCTGATAGTAAAGTTTAACTGAATAATAAATTCACCTAAAGCAGATTTTAAGTAATAGTCAAACATAATTCCAAGAATGAAAAAAAAAAGCACATGGTACTTACCGGTGGAAACATAATTCAGCTAGTCTTTTAGGGCGATGTTTTACTTGGAACCAAATGGATCACTTCCCTATGAAGTAAAGAATTTGGAACAAGTTAGGAAAAAATTTGTATCATGCATTGGTTGTGGAAGTTAACATATGGATTCATGTGCCACAAATATTTATTATACAATATTTCTATTGAAGCTTTAAAAAGTGACCAGGGCACATTTAACAATAACATTGTCATGATGGACTTACATATTCGAAGTTTATCAAGGAGGCATAGCAGCGACTATTTCAAGATTGTCCCCCTGTAATCTCATTATAACTATAAAAACTTAAGCAAATTGGAGCCCACAAGAATACAATAAGGTTAGAAATAGTGATAAAGGACAGGTTGCTCCAATAAAGACAAACATACCCATCCTAAACTCTTAAATGCACATTGACGAGGGTGATTATAGGTGTAATCATATTGTTGAGATTGTATAAATCAAGTGGTCAACTGTTTCTCCTGTTTAATTCCATTTTTTTTTGGGAAGGTTAAATAAGCATCACGAGCTACAGCTCACCAAAAATGGTTTGATGGCACTTATGAATTCAGAAGTATTAATCCCAAGCTTCAGATCCACTTCACCTCCACCTAACCAGAAGAAATCAGGCTGCAACTTAGCAATTGCTTCATCCAATATAACCTGAAACAAACCAAATAACATAAGCTAATCAAATCAAAATCATATTAGCTGAAATATGAAATAAGAATAATTATTTTCTTTAATCAAACTCATTAAAGTATAAAGGATAGAAGTTTATGATCATCGTTTAAAATTAACAAAAGATAATGTGATTCAAACAATATTTGTAAAGAAGTGTCTTTAGAGTGTTAGGCAATAAGAGAATATGGAAAGCAAAAGGTGAATTACATAAAGTTGCAATTAGACCTTATAAGTTGTAAAAGTCCAAGCAAAGGGGTACCCATAGGTGGGGCGCTTTAAGGAAGTAGCTAAACATGCTCGAGCTAGACCCATTAAATTACCCAATACGATGAACTAGCCTGCCCCTCCACATCCTTATTTTAATACTCAGATTATGTGGTTTAAATTAATAAAAAAATAAACAAAAATAAAAGTAAGGCCATAAAGGTAGCTATTATAACGCCCATGTTATCGGAACCTCAGAGAGATCACTCGAGGATGCATTGATAATTGAACTCAATATCAATTGCACTAGTTGTCAGTGCGGATATCTCTTACCCTTTCCTCTCATCTCCTATTTTTTCCATACAATCAACACTTTCTTGCTTATAATCCCAATTAATCCACTGCTGAAGGGAGTTCACCGAACATGTTTTGGTGTTGAGTCCTGTATCTTTCATCATTTGTATTTGTGACCAATTGCAATAACAAATCCTGATCACTTTCTATTTTTGTTAGAATTTATACGACTCCTATGCGATTGAAATGTTTTAGAGAATAGTTTAAATATTGATTAGAGGGGTCTCCTTGGAATAGAGTCTGTAGCAGTAAACCTTCTCTTATGGTGTCCTCACCATAAAAAACTTTTCGGTCAACTTTTGGTTTCGAGTATTGGACAACAGAAAACTCACTATAAGTCAAGTTGAGCATAGCAAAGATGAGACCGTTATGATGAATGTGTGCTGGAACTACAAAGAATAGATTAATGAATGACCATATTAGAGGGAGAGGGACATGATAGTGAAGGATTTACTGAAGATAAAGCTAAGATTTTGACTCAATATTTTGATGTTTATTACAGTATCATGTATAGCACCATTTTGAAGAAGCATAGCATGGGAACTGGATACCTAGAATATTACTTTATTTGATTGATTGGTTAGATGGCCGAGTTGTACTTGGGATTCACAAATCTGGACGTGCCTTAATCTATGTAAATACCACAAAGATCAACCTCAGCAATTGTGTCAATTGGGATTCGAACATGAAAGGAATGCATCTTCAAGAATTGTGCCAAATAAATTCTCAGGATATGCAGATCCATCATGCCATACAAAAATTCTCATTTGAAAATTTCATGGTCCATATGGTATAGTAATTTGTAAGGCATGCAGACCTTAAATTCCATGAAGAGGGTGATAGGAAATACTTGAGTTCGCAAGTTTGCAAGCAAACCTATCACGAATTGGTGAAAACAGCGAAAATAATGCAAAAATCTGGGTGAAATCAGCCCCAAAATGATGGATTGCAATAAGGGAATCAAAACCAAACAAACCCAAAGCAAGATACAAGTGATCCCCAATTCGAGAGGAGGATCATTCTCTCCCAATCTCTAGACAAGGAATTTAGAGCCCAAGATGCCAAGGAACTACAAGAGAAAACATATCAAAGCATAAAACCCTAACCCTAGCTTCTCATGCTTTTAAATACCCTCCCTCCCAATATAAAACAAATTCAAATTGTCCTCATACTTAAACCGCCCTCTCTCTCTCTCTCTCTCTCTCTCTCTCTCTCTCTCTCTCTCTCTCTCTCACAAATTGCAGCCCAAGAAGGGGGGCCCACTTGCTTAGGTGGTGGGAACCAAAGGAGGCGGCTTAGCTCGCCTCCTATAAGTCTGCACCAGCCCCTCCTGGGCCGGTTTGGCCAGAACCGTAACAATGCCCACTTCCTAAAGAACTGCCTTGTCCTCAAGGTAGAAATTGGGAAACTGATGTTTCACCCTCTCATAGGATTCCCACGTGGCATCGTAGTCCGGAAGATTTTTCCACTTGATTAGCACTTCTTTAGCTTCATCTTCTTTCTGGCAAACCCCCTTTAACTCTAAGGGTTCCAGAATCACCTCGAAATCCTCAGTGTCACCGATAACTCCGGGCTGACTATATAATCTCCAATGGCCCTTCTCAACTAGGATACATGAAAAATCGGATGTTTAGTCGCCGTTGGTGGTGATTTCAAGCGGTATGCTATAGCTCCAATTTTCTCCAATACCTCATAAGGTTCAAAGTATCTTGGGGCAAGCTTCTCATTCCTCCTATTGGTGATTGTCTTCTGCCTGTATGGTCGGAGCTTCAAGAACACCCTAGCCCCCACGTCGAACTAGACGTCCTTCCTATACCCATCAGCTTGTTTCTTCATATTCTGTTAGGCTCGCAACAGATGCCTCTTTAACTCTTCTAGCACTCTGTCCCTCCCTTCCAAGTATTCTACTGAAGAAACTAGAGTATTACTACTCCCAAAGTGCACCAAATGAGGTGGATCTCTTATATCCAACATCTTGAATGGGGTCATCTGAGAAGCAGAATGATAAGAGGTGTTGTACCAATACTCAGCCCATGATAGTCACTTGGCCCACAGCTTGGGTGTCTCCGACACAAAGCATCTCAGGTAGGTCTCTAAGCTTATGCTTGTCCATCCGTCTGTGGGTGTTAGACGGTGCTCCTCTTCAGAACTGTCCCATGTAATATGAACAACTCCCTCCAAAAATGGCTGAGGAACACCTTAATTATCTCTATCTGATACCATCGCCTCTGGCACTCCATGTAATATGACAACCTATCTGATGAAAGTTGAAGCCACTGCCACCGCGGTATATGGCTGTCAGAGGGGAATGAAATGAGCATACTTGCTTAACCTGTCCACCACCACTAGAATCACCATGAAACCCCTTAAACGGGGCAGCCGATATATGAAGTCCATGGATATCTCCTCCCATACTCGTCCCGATAAAGCCAACGACTGTAGTAGTCCTCTTGGCGACATAGTCAGGTATTCGTTCCTCTAACAGATCTCACACCTGGCCACCATCTCCTCTACATCTCTATGCATCCCCTTACAGTAAAACTACGAAGCAAACCTCTTGTATGTCTTCTGCACCCCTTGAATGGCCCCCAACAGTGCTTCCATGAAACTCCTGGAATAAGTTTGGTATGTGGATTGAGGTCCGGGGAATCACAACCCCTGATATAGTAATTTGTCCCCCTCCGATGAGTACCTTGGGTGGCTACCCCCTTCCCTCAATAAATCTGTCCTGATCTTTCCCAACTCCTCATCCCTAGCACTCTCCTTCCTAATGGCCTCCCAGTCCAGCATCAAAGGAACCGATACTGCCACTGTCTGCAGCTCCCCCATACACCTGGACAAGGCATCCTTGTTATCATTTATTTATGTTTACAGATTTTGTAAGCTGCTTTCTAGAACTTGTTTCTACTTTTAGTTTTATATGTGGATGTTTATGTTTTACTAAAAGGAAGAAGTTCTCTAATTGTTTTCCTAAGTATTCTCCATAAGATTTTTAGCAAATTATAAAGAAGCAGGTGGATGGACACAGGAAGGACATCCAATTCGTTGTTGTAGATGGGGTATTTTAAAAGCTGCGACCCTACAGATAAAGAACAATAGCCAATAGAAGAAATGAGAAGCTATTCCCGAGTTACTTTGGACTTTTGTAAAATTTTGGGGAGGGTTGAAGCAGTGATTTATCGCTTGAAGTTACCCCTTACTACTTTTATACACCTAGTGTTCCACGTATCACAATTGAGGAGAGCTGTGGAGGATCATGCAGCTAGTTCATAATTACCAGGGATGTTGACACAATATGTGGAGGTGGTTTTGGAACCACTTCTTAAAGGGGTTTGTAAGGGAGGGGAGTCCAAGGAAGCGTTGATGAAATGTAAGAACTTACTTGACTATGATGCTACTTGAGAACCATACGAGAGGGTGAAGCATCAGTTTTCCTCTTTCCACCTTGAGGACAAGGCAGTTATTTGGGAGGGCAGTATTGATAGATCGGTTAGGGGGGATCTGTTTTTTTTTTCTCTCTCTGTAGTTTCCTGTTTTTGTTTTCTTGTATGGGCTCTAGCTACGTCTAGAGACTTGGGAGAGCCGGATCTTCCTCTCCAATTGAAGATCCAATTATATCTTATTATTTTATTTCATCAATTTGAGTTTTGGTGTATTTCTCTTACAAATATTATTGTGCCGTTCACTGGTTTTTGCTGAATTTGCATCCAATTACTAACAAAAGGCAGGCTAAACGACACACCTGTGACAATGATTAATACCATTCAGATTGCAATATTTTTTTTTTTTAAATAGACGTTGTATAAAACCCCCTTATTTTTCGGTTATTCAAACACTTGAAAAAGGTCGTTATTCCACAATGCAAAAGAAAAATTCACGTGAAAATAAACTTTTTGATGATGATTTTGACTTTGTAGTATGAGTTGAGGGGTTTGCATGTCAATAAAAATGGCCATAGCAACATCCTAATAGCTACTTAAGCTTAACAAGGTCGAAATTCAATGAAAAATGCGTCTTTATGTCATGTAGGAATATGAAGAGTTTGAATTACCGGAATTTCTGTTTTCATGCCGACACATGTTACTGCATTATGCACAAACCCAGTAAGCTTTAGCGACTCCTCTTCAGGTGCAAGTCTCACTGAATCAAGCAAAAAGTTCACGAGAGATACATGAAAAGAGCACACTTAATAAAATAAATCTCAATCACACTACAACGGCTAACCAAATTACTACAATGCAGAAGTTCAATACTTCATTCTAAACGATTAATATGGACTAACCAAAAGTTTTAAACTGAGGACTAAAAGATCGTCTGTTTAAAAGATAAAAAAAATTGAGATAAATAACACAGTTAAAATTCTTCTCGAGTTCAAGATTGCATAAATTTACGTGTTTAAAAAAAATTAAAATATATAGATAACTTGGACCAAAGTTATGCCGAAAAAATAAATTGCTTCAAAGTTTAGTTTAATACAAAAAAAACTCTGATTTGGCTATTAAACGCAATGTTTTACTGTATATCTCTCAGCATATTGCACATTATCTGTTTCAATTGGAAGGCAATTGGGTTTAACATGGTGCAAACCTAGGCAGATATTTTCTAAATAAGTTATGCTACCTTTTTAAGGATTAATTCTTAAAACAACACCAACAACATCAAGTCTTTATCCCACTATGTATGGTCGGCTACATGAATCCATTTTCTCCATTGTGCCCAGTTAAAAGTTAAATTCTCATTTAAATCTAATAAAGAAAGGTCATTTCTAATATTTTCTAACCAAGTCTTTTTAGGTCTACCTCTACCCTTCTTAACATTAGTCAAATCTAATACATCTACTTTTCCAACGGGGTCATCGAAAGACCGCCGTTTTATGGGACCAAACCATATAAGGCGACTCTCTCTAATCTTATCTTCCACTGAAGCTACTCCAACCTTTTCATGTATATGTTAATTTCGTATCTTGTCTCTAGGAGTAGCCACTCATCCACTTAAGTATCCTCATCTTTGTAACACTTAACTTAATATTATGTTTCTATTTTAATGGCCAACATTCTGCACCATAAAACATTGTAGGTCTACCACCATCTTATAGAATTTTCCCTTAAGTTTGAGGGGGACTTTTTTATAACACAATAAGCCCGATGTATTCCTCCACTTCAACCATCCAACTCGAATTCTACTAATAATATCCCCATCTATTTCACCATCACTCTGAACAATAGACCTAAGATATCTAAAACGTGTACTCTTATTAATGACTTGATCACCTGAAGTTACAATCCCCTCACTAGAACTATTATTAAAATTATATTCAATATATTCAATTTTATATCTACTCAAACAAAAGCCTTTAGACTCTAAGGTTGACCTTCATAATTCAAGTTACCTTCAACTCCCTCTCTAGTCTTATCAACGAGAAGAATATCATCAGCAAAAAGCATATACCAGGGTACAACCTCTTGCGAATGTCTAGTGAGAACATCCATGACTAAAGGAAAAAGATATGGGCTTAAGGTTGATCCTTGATGTAATCCAATAAAAATAGGAAAAATACTTAGTTAAACCATCTTGTGTTTGAACACAAATAATAGCTCCTACATACATATCATATTGACTTGAACATAAGCATTATTAACCCCTTTCTTTTCTAGTACTTCTCTTGGAACCTTATCATATGCTTTCTCAAAATCAATAAACATCATATGTAGATCCTACTTATTCTATCTATACTTCTCCATCAAACCTCTCAATAAATGTATAACCTCCATCATAGACCTACCCAACATGATACAAATTGATTTTGAGAAACATTAGTATCACGTCGTAATCTATGCTCCATAACTCTCTCCCGTAGTTTTAAAGTATGACACATTAACTTAATTCCTCTATAATTCGCACAATCATATGCATTGCCTTTATTTTTAAAAATATGAATGAGCGCACTCATTCTCCACTCATCTGACATCTTTTTAGTCTTCAAAATAATATTAAAAAGTTTAGTAAGCAAAAAAATTCCTTATTCTCCTAAGCATTTCCACACCTCTATTGGGATATCATTAGGTCCAACAGCTTTTCCACCCTTCATTTACTTTAAAGCTTCTCTAACTTTGATTTTACTAATACGTCAATAAAAATAAAAAACTTTATTTTCATTTAGGATTATAAGATCACTAAAGTCAATCGTATTCTCACATCTTCGTTGAAAAGTTTAGCAAAATATATCATCCACCTTTATTGAATATCCTCTTCTAATAAAAATACTTTTTGATATTCATCCTATATGCACTTCACTTGAGCTAAATCTTTACTACTCATATCTCTTTATTTGACCCAACTTATACATATATCTTTTGCTCTCCTTAGTACATAATCTATTATATAAATCATTAAAAACTAAAATATTTGCATCATATATTACTTTTTTACAAAATCATAAGCTCTAAAATTTTACTCTAAAAAATATTTTTATTAATATTTTTAAAATACTCCCATCTAATCCTAAAACAACCAATTATTTTATTTTTTATATTCTTTCACTTTATCTTAAAGTCCAAAACTAATAAGTGATGTTGGATATATAAACTTTCACTCATAATAACTTTACAATATTTGAAATCTAAATAATCTATTTTTCTTATAAGAAAAATAATCAATCTTAGTTTTACTATCCATTTTTATAAATTATAAGATGCTCATCTCTTTTCCTAAATAATGTATTAGCAATTACAAAATTATAAACTAAAGAAAAAACTAGTATGACCTTACCACCTTTATTAGTCGCTCGAAACTCATAACTACCATAAATGCTTTTAAAATAATACATCATTCCATTTATCTACCAACATGTCTATTTAAATCTTCTTCAATAAAAACTCCTTCAAAAGGTATCTTTTATATTAATTATTCTAAGTCATTCCAAAATTTTAATTTTGAACACATATCCAAACCTACTTGATGAGCATAAACACTAATAATATTAATAATCTTAGTATCAACAACAAAAAAAATAAAAAGAAATAAAAAAAAAAAAAACTTAATTTGTGCCCCCATTAGAAATAATTTCTACCTCCGCCATTGACCATGTGGTAACATCATCACATATTCTTGTAGCATTAGGTGTCATGACTAGTGTAGGCTAAGCCTACAAGATTCATTAACTTGTAGATTTTTTAGGGCTGAAAATTTTTGTTAGTTTTATTAAATTAAATAGATCATTGTATTATCATTTTGATTCTTATTCTCGTAGAGTTTGATTTTCACCAAAAGAAGAAGAATTTTAATATACTTAAGGATTTTTTGATTGCAAGTAATACTATTGTGAAGTAAACTAAATACAAGTATTTTTTTAATTCACTGTGTTTGGTTGGAAGAAAAGCACATGCAGAATAAAATTTTAATTTTTTTTTTAAATTTCTTATCTCATTCATTTGCAATGTATTTGAAATTCGGTTGGTTCGGGCAGAATTTCGTTTGATCATACAACACAAGATTTCCTTATGAGGACATCGGAAGATCAATGACTACGATCTAGAGCTTATTTTATTTTATTTTATTTTTATGTCTTATGTACTAGTTTATTTTATATTATTATTTTTCTCATTTTACCCTTAGGAGTGGTCATGTAGTGTTGTAGCCCGAATGGCGTTTTAGTCTTTGCTATTTTTCTTTTCAAGAGGCCTATTTATAAACTAACTCTCTTGTATTGTAGAATGAAGATTATTATGAAAAATTTTGCGTTTTACTATTGTGAGAGTTTGAGAGTTCTTGGAAAGAGCTTTGAGAAAGTCCCTTGGTGAAGGGCAACGCAACGCAATACCCACCAATCTTGGAAGCGTCCGGATTCGTGGTTCTCTTTTCCGTATCTTCTTCTTTCCCCCTTCTCCTCCCCCCCCCCACCCACCACCACCACCACCTAACCCATCCCAACCCAAGATCCAACCGTCGGCCACTCCTTCATCCCCTTGGATCCCCAAATTAAATCCCTCATTATTACCTTCCATATTTGGCTTCTTGTTATTTAGGAAAGAATTTGAATTCAAATTCGACATAATTTAAGTTTCAAAAACTTTTTAAATGAATCTAATTCCTTTAGGAAATAATTCCCCAATCACCTTAATCTGAGAATAAATATCAAATTTATTCTTCAATCACAAATTAATGCCTTGGTCCACATTTATGGAGGGGCTGTTTGGTTGCCTGAATTAGGAGGGTAAAGTAAAGTAATTACAGGTATTTATTAAATTTGGTTGTTTGGTTAATTTTGAGTGGAACGAAAGGAATACCTCCGAAGCAATAGCAGAGTATTAGGGGAGGCAGTTCGTGCGACTTTGAAACCCGCTCAAATCGAGCGGGTTAGAAATTCTTTGCGGCTGTTGCGCGATGCTGACCTATATTCTCCCTTCTTCCTTGCTCTCTTGTCCATTCCTGCGATCGCGCTGACGTTCCTGCATCATCGCTTCGCCTGGTTCCGCAAAACAGTCGTCATCCAAATAAAACCCCTTATCTCCAACATATTTCATGCTCCATGACACACATTTCTCTCACAACCATTCCATTAAACATCACAAACCACTTTGTATTCATTTTTTTACAATGGATTACAACTGAAGATAAAAAAAACTTTGCAAATGATATCAAATTTTTATCCAACGAACTTTTAATTGGTAAGGCATAAAGAAGATGCAATTGACAGCTACAATTACAACTGCCAAACATATGTCAAATAACTTCTTATACTTCCACCAGAGCTATCATAGTAAAACATATATTCAAGGAAAGAAATCATCTCTTAGCCCAAATCCATTTCATTCCTTCCAAAGTTTATAAGAGGCAAGCCAACATCACGTTGCAACATTGATTCAAACACAGAACACATGATTACCTATCCAACACTTCATCACGAAACAACCTTTCTACATAAAATCACTTTTGTAGTTTCTTCAACAAAGTTTGAAGACAAATCAAGTATTCACAAGAGGCTTTAAGAAGATTCTTGTCATAGCCATGCAATTTCCACCAATATAGAAGCATGAAAAACTCCACTTTTTTATTTTTTAAAATAAAATGATAGCATGAAGGCATCTAATCATATCACAAATGGATCATTAGGCAAGGATCAATTCATCTTCAATATTGCA